AGGCAGAAAAGGGAAATGCATCCACACCACATTGACATGATGGAAATGCTCTAACCTCTCCACAGGCAACTTGAATCGATAATTTTAATATTAATTAAAATTTGATTTTAATATTAAATGCAAGGGTGTTCAAGGAGAAGGAGAGAGAATGCTACAAATTTAAGCCCTATAAATTAAGATATGTGGAAGAATCCTACATTTCAGGATCATTTATACATAACAGAGCCAGATATCATAGCTTACAGGAAATAGGAAGCAATGATTCTCCCATATGATGCTTTCATTTTTTGCACAGCACTGAATAACAAATATCTAGGTATGCAAATTCAGTTTGCACTTTCAAATATTGTTAGCTAGTATCTAATGCCAGAAAATTTCCTTTTTGAAGGTTTGATCATCCATACAAATATCATATTTTTATTAATCTTAGCTAAATATCATTTTCTCCATCAAGCTTATGCACAGCTAAGACATTCAGATACTCCTGTCTCCACCCTGCTATAAAGAGAACCCACATTTGTATATATTGCAGTAATGCATTTATCTGTGTGCTTCCTTCATTAATTGTTGTCTCTTTTTTAAAAAAAATCTTAAGTTCCATCAGGGCAGGGTCTGGGCCTTTGCAGGAGAAGCTGTATGTTGAAGTTGTTAAACATGGATTCCAGTAACTCATTTCCAGGTCCATATCTCACCTTTTCCTCTTACTTGCTGTGTGATTTGGGGTAATTTAATTGCTACTTCTCTATCCCAATTTCCTCAACTGTGAAATAACGATAACTCTAATACCGATTTCAAAGAATCCTGAGAATAATACATTTTTAAAAATCACCGAAGTGAATGTTGTAACTGAAACATGTTAGTGTTCATAATTATTACTTGTGCTTACATATGGATACTCAGTAACAAGCAGAATGGCAGGCACATATCAAACCTCAGAGAATATTGAATGATTGAATGGCTGACTGAGTGAGCAAACTGGAAGAAGGGAATCCTAGAAATCCTCTTGATTGTGACTTTTTTTTTCTTTTTTTTTGTGAGACGGAGTCTTGCTCTGTCGCCAGGCTGGAGTGCAGTTGCGCAATCTCGGCTCGCTGCAACCTCCACTTCCTGGGTTAAAGCGATTCTTCCACCTCAACCTCTGGAGTAGCTGGGACCACAGGCACGTGCCACCACACCTGGCTAATTTTTTTTATATTTTTAGTAGAGACAGGATTTCACCATGGCCAGGATGGTGTCGATCTCTTGACCTTGTGATCACCCGCTTCGGCTTCCCAGAGTGTTGGGATTACAGGCGTGAGCCACCGCTCCTGGCCGATCTGTGACTTTCAAATCACTTTAGACTTGGACTACCTTTCTCCAATAAAAGTATATGCAGATTATATACGCCCAACAAATCCATTATTGTGGGTAACCCCCCATATAGGCACCGAGGAATGAGAGCTAAGCAGAGCCCTGGCACAGTTAGGGTTTGAGGAATATCTCACTTTATAGTGTTACTACTCAGCTATTTCTTTTTATATAATCCTTTACATAATCATATATTAGTTTATAGAAATAGGGCTTGAAGACTCCCTTTATATAATCCTCTATATATAATCATATAATAGTTGATAGTATGAGTGCCTAAAGAATATTTCCTTACATATATACCTATAATTACCTTAGTTCATAATTGGAGGAATGCCTAGAGTGGACACAGTACAGAGAATGAATTAAGGAATAAGCAGCTTATAATTGGAGGAATGCCTAGAGCAGACACAGTGCAGAGCATGGTTTAAGGGAAGACAGTTATACCAAGACAAGAATCCATGGCCCAGGTGGCAGCGTTCAGTATTGTAAAGATACCCGCCATATGGCAGGCTTGGGGTGAGAGCCACTCCTCCTGATAAAGGAGTTGTAAGACCTTGCTCCAGTTCTTGTGGAAGGCTGCCCTCAGAAGGGCAATCCACCTTGGTGACTGTGAACTTTATCAGCTCTTGCTGCTGTGCTGCTTGAAAAGCATCTTCCCATAGAAGCCATTGGAAGCTGCCAGAAGATGGCAGTAACCTTGACAGCTCTGTCACTGCTATGTGATTTAAGCATCCTCCGATAAATCTTCTTAGAAGTAGTTTCCCATAGATAGATGTATCGCACACTACACCCCCTTACTGTACCTGGCCCTTGCCTTTGTAGGAACCGGGCCCTCGCCTTCGTGGGAACAGGCCCCTTGCTGCGCGCTGTCCATCTCCTGGCCTAGGTGACCTAATGGGGATGGACCCTATGTTTTATTGCTCATGACCCTATCACTATCCTTAAAGATGATTTCACTCACTGCCCTGCCCTCTAACCGACACACAATAAATACTCACGCTTCTGGACATTCAGGGCTTCGCTGCCTCGCCAGCCAGCCTCGCCTGACTCCGCTTACAGGTGGCGTGGCCCCCTGAGCCCAGCTGCGTTTTCTTTGTATTTCTGTGTCCTGTCTCTTTATTTCTCGGATTCTGCACCTCAGCACAGCATAAGGCTCACCCCACAACCCTGTGGGGCACTTAGCCTTACATCGGCTCCCAACGTGCCCTACACATTATATAAAATAATAAATACTCCAGTTGAAGACGAAGGGATTATAGAAATCCAGAATCCTAGCCTCTTGATATTCATTTCCCTCACGGCAGCCCCAGCGTTATTTCTACTAAAGGGCTAGGTCTCTGCAGAATGTAGAGGAAAATCTTTGTTTTCACTAACTGCTTAAGACCCAGTAGATTAGGAAATGAATGTTAAAGGAAGTTAAGAGACCTGTTCATGTCCAAATGTGTGTCAGACGTGGATATCCATTAAAGACTCATATAGTCCACATGAAATATATCTGTTGCATTAATCTGCATTTCAAAATTTACCCAGGAGTGCCTCATCTACTCTGCTTAGAAAATCCAAGCCGCAGACCTACAGATAAAGCTTTTAGAAAAAAAAAAAAGATTAAAAAATAGATAGTATAAGAACAAAACAACACAACAAACAAAATAAATGCTTATTTTTGGTTCTTACAGTTCTCTATTCTCATGCCAATACATGCTCCCTTGCTGCTCTCCTGCTGGTTCTCTTGCTGCTTCAGCATCTAAATTAATTTATTCAACAAATATTTGAGCATTTTCTATGAGGCAGCTAGCTCTAAGCACTTGAGATTAATTTGTGAGGTGATGGATTTGTTAATTAGTTTGATGTAATCATTCTACTACATGTGCGTGCATATATAGAGATACCTCACATTGTACCTATTACACATCACAATAATTATTCATAAATTAAAAATAAAAATTGAATTAAAAAAAGACAAAATCCCTGACACCATGGAACTCTATTTTTTTTTTAAAGAAAACACATGCTAAATAAAATATTTTGGGGGCATTGGCAAAGAAAGATTAAAGAAACTTTCAGGATGTTATTTAAGAAGAGTTCTTAGATGCTGATATATAGAAGCAAGTACCATTCATATATACTTTCAATTAATTTATGTAAGATAATATACATTGTAGTCTTATAACAATCTTTATTGAACTAAATAGGCCATCTTTCAGCATCTTTTATTCTTCATCATTCAACTGTTAATAATAACACAATCCAAATGAACACATAGTTTGGGGAAATTTAGGATTATACACATAACTAAGAAAACGTCTCCTAAGTACACAGTATACGTTTTCATCACTCTGTAGGTCTGGCCAGTTCAACCTACTCTATGTTGTCAATAATTATTTCAGTCTCCACTGTGACTAGTGCTAATTACAATACCTGATCTATAAAAATAAAAGATTTTATTATAGCAAAGTTCACAAATATTGTTTTAGTTCAGTTATCCACAATGTGCATCTAAAATAGTAAATGTTTCCTTTACATATAACTGTCTTAGACTTGTAATTGAGGATATTTTATGAAACGTGTATCTGAATCAGCACTATGATGCTAAACAGCTGAATACAGAATGAAAAAAGTTAGCAATCTAGTATTTTCGATATTCAGATCTTTGACATTACATAGAAAACCACATCCAGATGAGTGACTGAATTATTCACTTTTCTTCTGAGCATTTTGGCATTAGATAGACACAGCATTCATTTAAGCTTAATGCATTTTAGGAACAGGTTCAGTTTACATAGTTAATGCACATAAAAGAAAACACAAAGTCAAAACAAATTTCTAACTTAGAAACAAATACATCAAACACGTAGCATTGATTAGTATTTTAAAATAACTAGAAAGAAATACAACTGTTCTTACTTCTGGTTGTACCTCTATTGAAACAAGTTATTGCATTAGAAAATATGCTTTTTCTGCATTCATATTTTTCAAAATGTAAGTAATCTCACTGCTCATCATTACAGATACATAATAGAATTATACTATCTATAGTCAACATTTAGGTTGATATTTTATTCCATATGAGGATAATTGGGATTTAAGTGTTAATTTTTTTAAAACAACATCTGTTTATATAGCTGTTAATTTAAAGATATAAGAAATGGCCCCTCTCTCATAGACAAATTCACAAATGTAAGAGAAACATTTTAAACTTACCTGGTTCTATCTTAAAGCAATTGAAAAACTGAGAGAAATAAAATGTGTTCATTAAGGTACAGTCATAGAACATACTAAAAAAGAGTCTCATACTTAGCTATTAAAAGGAACTCTTAAAAATATATTTAAAGATTTCCTGCTACAAGTCTCTTTAAAAACAACAACAACAAATGATGCAATGAATATAACACAGTAAACCTTGCTGGAAAAATACACATTATATGGATCCAAAGCCCACTTGATCAAGCCAGGAATTAATAAAAGCATATTGAGTATATGCTTTTTCTTGTCACAGACAAGAATAGGAATTTGGAACACAGAGAACATAAACAAAAATGAAGCTTGATGAACACTTGATTAGTATCAAACTGAGCTCTCACCTTTCAACATGTTATCTCTCAAAACAATTTTAGAAAATAACGGCCTGATTCTCCTTTTTTTTTTTCTTCTCAATCCAAACATGCTTCAAAACATGCTGTGCTAAGATGACAAGGTGAATAACTTTCCATAGGATCCATAGGGCCTTGGAGGGAATTTGTGCCCCAGGGTAGAGGTGGGAGACTGAACCTAAATTAAAACTAAATGATCTGCTACCCTTTCATGAACCTATGGAGATGGTTAAGGCCCCTGAGTACAGTGGAAAAATTAAAAGGAACAGGACTTGGGAGAAGAGTAGTATTCCAGTTTGTATAATTAGATTATTTTTAAACATGTGAAGGAGTCAACAGAAACCTCAGACCTTGATTTTTTATTTCATCCTGATCACTTCTGAAAACTCTAGGGATCACCCATAAAGCTAATTATCTTTTCCTTGGGTAGCTTGTTTTATGAAAAATATAGATGCCCCTTGACTTACAATAGGTTACATACAGATAAATAAATCAAAAGTTGAAAACACTGTAAGTCCAAAATGCATTTAAGAGACCTAACCATGGAACATCATAGCCTAGCTTACTTTAAACCTGCTTAAATGTGCTCAAAACATATACCTCATCCTACAGTTGGGCAAACCATTTAACACAAACCCTATTTTATAATGAAGTGTTAAATATTTCATGTACCACATATCACTAGCCCGCCAAAAAATAACAAAATTCAAAGTGTGTAGAGATACGAAGTTTTCACAGAATAGTCAAAAAATTGCTAAGTCGAGCCACTGTGGTAGGGATTTGTCTGTGCTAATAAATGACACTGAATTATTCTGAAAGTAGAATTGCTGCATGACTATATTATAATATTACTTTTACAGTTAATTATATTCTCCAATTCTTCAAATCCTTAAATTTCTTTAAATATGCTATTTTGATCAAATCCTTAAATTTCTTTAAATATACTATTATGTCTCAGAATTTAAGTTCATCTATTGATATTTTTATTAACTATCTTCTAGGATACACTGCTCCAAATGTATATATGTGGCTTGACAGATCCATTCTGTAAATCTAGTGGTTTCATGTGCTTTCCACAGTTGTAAAAAGGGTCTAAACAGCAGAAGTGACTTTTCTGTGCAGACAACCTGAGTTTTTAACTTTGAATGCCCTATCAAATATGTGAATCAGATAATTATTCAAGTAGTCATTTCCTCTTGCTTGTGAGCTATGTTTCAATTATTCATGAATACATTTATTTGAGTAATGATGTTCCTATAGAAAGAGAGAACTTTTAAAGATTAACACTGCCATTGATTTGTTTTAATAACGCATTGGTTTTCAAAAAATACTCATCTGGGTTCATTGAATGAACATGGCTATTTTACTTTCATCAAATCCCTGTTTTGAAATATATATTACCTGCTTACATGTTTGTATTTTAGAACCCACTCTTCATTCCATATTCTGTTACCCAACTTCATACCAAAAATCCTGCCAAGTAGTTCAGACAACTTGGTTATTAACTTGGAGTAATTCCAGTAGACACACATAGGAGATGTGTCTACAGAATGCCAAAATATATAAATATATCAGAAATTTAGTTAGCCATCCAAATATTTTGTCTATATGATGCCAAACATACTTAATGAATTCTGAAAGCTGACAAAATTCTTGACAGAATTGTCTTAGCATTATTTAGACAAATAATTATTATTAGTTCAAAACAATACCAATACCGATAGCAATAAACATCATCAAATAAACAATGTATTTAGGTTGGCACAAATTCTAACCTTGAAGAAAATGACTTCAGTTGGTTCATGTGGACCAAACCCTTAACGATATGGTTGTAATTTGGATTCTAAGAATACTGAGAACCCACAATATTTTATTATCCTCCAGCTGATTTTGACAGCTACATCATAGAAGTACTAGATATCCAAATGAACCTGAAGAATTACATGTTAGATAGCATTTGAGTTTAAAACAGACCAATTTATATGGAGCAATTTACTGATGACAAAATATTTATGACTGTGGATATTAATTTCAGTTAGGTTATTGCTTAAGGATCATAATTGGTCTGGAATCTTTGAAAACTTATAGACTACTATATAAAGTTACATAAAATTCTGAAAAAGTTGCATGCTTTAGAAACTTAGTATTTCCATCAAGCTCGTGGTCTAAAAAGAGTATGAAGACAATAGCAAATGGACATTTTTAACACAGTTTCTTAGTATTTACAGTATTTTTTCTTCTCTCGCTGCCATCCCTTCAAAGCTGGTCAATTGTTTTTCTTTTTTCACCTCACATTCAGAACAAGGAGGCATTTGCAATTTCTGTTAATACAGAAAAGACTGTTAAAGAATCAAAATAAATACATTTTAAGGTAAAAATTGAAAAGCCTAACAGAATAAGAATGAAAATTCATAGATCTCAATAAGTATCTTAGAGAAAATGAACACTAAACAGACATGAAACAAATGTAAAGATGTTAATTATATTTCATGAAAGTACATAAAAATATTTTGCCTCAAAAATGGCAGGTTATTTCAAAAACTATTTTGAAAAAACTTTGCCCAAACCATTCAATTCTGATTAATCTAATTCAAAGTTTGAGTACCTTAAATCTAACTCAATGCTTTAGTATTAAGTGAAATTGAAATAAGTACTAAGAATGTCAATGATACAATATTTTTGGCCAAGTATAATACATTACAAATAAAAATTCAGAATTAAACTCTTAACTTGTCTTTGTTTTGTTTGTTTTTGTGAGCAATATGCACTTCTTTTCATCTCTGCTTTTTTCAAATCCTCTTTAGGCACCTTTGTCCAATATTTCTTATCACTGATCATTTTGAACATCCCTGTTTATTTCTGTTTTGTTTCCTGGTCTGTGAGAGGAAGGATGTAAGTGAGGGAGAACTTCCCTCACCCTTGATGTTCTGAGAGCCTCACAAAGTAAAGCCAAAATCTTAGTAGAAACCGGAGCAGCTGTGGAAAAGCCCAGGGCACCAGATGAAGACACTATATAGCACTAGCAAGTACAACATCCAGCCCCAGCTAAAGCAAAAGAGAAGAGGGTTAAATACAATGGCTTCAAGAAGTTCTTTCTGACATAAAAATACAACGAACAAATACCTGTGGGATAGGCTGAGTTTCTGCAGTGGCATTACTTGGGGGACTTTCTTGGTGCCTCATTGAACAGGTTCTGCCCTCCTACAAAAGCAGCAATTGAAAATACGTCAATGAAGTTAAATAAAGAGGGGTTGAAAAAGACTCTCTTGAATTATTCCTGTTGAGAAGATTCTATCACTTTGATCCATACTGAAAAGGCAAGCTAGGGACAAAAACCATCACCACAGCAGCGGGATTTCAAGGAGAGATCAAACATTCCTGGCTGGTTTGGGGATCACAATGGGGCTTATGGCAGTCAGCTACTACAAAGAAGTACAAGTCCAGTGGAAAGTTATTTCCATGTAAAATATTTAAAAAGAAGTAAAAGATTACAAAACTACTATATCTGCAATGCATCTAGACTCTATGATTTATATATGTCAATTATTTGAGTGCCTGCAGGAACATCAATATTGCAAGCTAGGAAGCAATGTAAATAATATGACCATTACTCTATAGTGCATAAAATTCTCAACATCTTTTTTAAAAGATAATATTTCCAGAACTAAGATCTCAAATTTTACTAACCAGAAAATCTCATCTTACTCATTAGCTTCACCAGTTTTAAGGAAGATGAAGTGTTAACAGTGATTAAAAAAAAAAAAAAAAAAAAAAAAAAAAAAAAAAAAAAAAAAGGATTCCACTTGGGCTTCACTTCTATTTTAACCAAGGTTAAAATATTAAATCCTGTCTCCCTTCCTTTCTCCCTCCCTCCCTTCCTCCGTTTCTCCCTTCCTCCCTTCCTCCCTCTCTCCCTTCCTCCATTTCTTCCTTCCTCCCTTCCTCCCTCCCTCCCTTCCTCCCTTCCTCCCTTCCTTCCTTCTTCCCTTCCTCCCTTCCTTCTTTCCTCCTTCCCTCCCTTCCTCCCTTTCTTTTTTTACTTACTGCTACTTTTCCTCCTTCTTCTTTTTTTCTATTATATACATACTTTTAAATTAATGGCAACATATGTAGTGTAAGAATCTGCATTTATGTGTGTATGTGTGTTCAATTTCTCATAATCTTTCCATATGCAAGACAGAGCCTAAGAGTTTAATAATTCATGAATGACAGGGCAGGTGCAATGGCTCGCACTTATAATTTCAACATTTTGCAAGGCTGAGGTTGGTGGAGTTCTTGAGCCCAGGAGTATAAGACCAGCCTGGGCAATGTGGTGTGGTGAAACACCTGCTTTACCAGGAAACACAAAAAAACATCTGGGTGTGGTGGCACATCCCTGTGGTTCCAGCTACCTGGGAGACTGAGGTGGGAGGGTCACCTGTGCTGGGAGGTTGAGGCTGCAATGAGCTGTGATCATGCCACTGCACTCCAACCTGGGCAACAGAGTGAGATCCTATCTCAAAAAATAATTGAGGACCACTGACATAAAAAAAATAAGTATTTCCAAGGGATCAACCAGGAGATGGAGACCTAGATTGACTTTAAACTCTAAAAATTCTGAGTAGAAGATGAATAAAAATGTTATATAGGAGATTAAACCTACTCCAATTCAAATTTTAAAGGTTATTTTTACATGCTCCTTATTCTCACACTATGTTGCTCTTAACTGAACACAAACCATGTATCTGTACATTTCTCTACCCATGTGTGTGCTACTCCATTCCTTCACTGCAGGACCCTGAAAAACAGCTACTCATTTCTGTCATACTTCATCCTTTCTACTAGTATATAGATTCAGTCACCCTTCCCTGCTCTAAAGGTAATGGTTATAACAACTCTAGAACTTATCATTGTTTTTATATGTATAATCATGCCTCTCCTCCCAGTATATTGTGAATACCTTTAAGACAGAGGCTACATTTATCACCACTAGATCACAGCTAGATGCCTACCAAAAACTGGTCAATATATAATCTCTAAATAAATAATAAATAATTTTGTAAAATTGGTCATGAAATATTTCCATACTGTAGAATTTTCATAAATGCCTGCTTTCTGTGTATAACCAGATTTAGGCATATTTTATACACAATTGGTTTTTCTAAATAAGTCTTAATACACAGAAAAGGTGAGATTGTCACTATAAGACTAAAAATCAATAGCTGAATTCTTAACTACCTTATCTAAATACATTTTAATGACCTATTTCTAAATAGTTTTTGAGTATTCTAAATACTAATACTGCGTATTCCTTTATATATAGAGAGGAACCTTCTACACTGCCTAAGAAAAAAAAAAACGATTTTTTTGTGTGTGATTTAGAATGAGAACTTCACATTTCTCTAGAAATATTATAATTACTCTTTTGCTGTAATTAACCACCTGGCTATTGTTTTTATTATTCTTACATTTACCCTTTGAAATGCCCATCAATGATAGACTGGATAAAGAAAATGTGGCACATATACACCATGGAATACTATGCAGCCATAAAAAGGATGAGTTCATGTCCTTTGCAGGGGCATGGATGAAATGAAACGATCATTCTCAGCAAACTGATACAAGAACAAAAAACCAAATACTGCAAGTTCTCACTACTAAGTGGTTGTTGAGCAATGAGAACACACAAACACAGGAAGGGGAACATCACACACTGGAGCCTGGAGAGTTGTGGGCTAGTGGAGTAATAGCAGGGGGTGGGATGACTTGGGAGGGATAGCATTAGGAGAAATACCTAATGCAGATGATGAGGCAATGGATGCAGCAAACCACCACCATGACATGTGTATGCCTATGTAACATACTTCATGATCTGCACATGTACCCCAGAACTTAAAGTATAATAAAAAAAAGGAAAAATTAACTAAGATAATTGTAAAACATCAAGCTCAAAAAACATGGTTCATACAGAAAGTAATTTGCATAGTGTAGGATTTCCCAAAATGCACTTGGTAGGAGTGGAGTTCATGTCATTTAAGTTTAGGTAAAAATTGATTTCAACATTAAACAGTTGTATTTATTGTAGTTCTTCTCAGAAATTTTAACATACAATATCTTAAATTTTTTATCTTGAATGATCTGATCACATAATCAAATAGAAGTGACTTAAAAAAATACTCTAGGGTGATAATTCTGTTCTATGAATATAGGGTTTGCATTTTTAATCAGCATGCTAGCAATTCAAATGTACCTATGAAATTTGATATTCACTTCATAATGCACAATGTATTATAAATCTCTAAGAAGGAGATATAATATAAATATTTCCCGAATCTCTTTGACCTAAAAACTCTGTATGTGTAAAGCATCACTTGAGGTCATTGTCTGAGGATACAGTTATGGGATTTGCTATGGAATATATTTCATTAATGCTAGCACAACCAACTCTTTGAGATAAGCCTTTGATCATCTGAACAATGAAAACTTATTACATTTCAACATTAAAGAAAATGTTTTGTGGATAGAAGACAGCTGTACCTTTTTCTGCTACTTTGATCTTATAATGAACAGTATTTTAAGTTTACTCTTTCTGGGCTTCAGAGGCATTGTGGAAATTTCATAAGATGGTTCATAAAATTGTTAGTGAGTCTCAGAGAGGCACCAGAGATAAGGCCACATTACTATACTGCATTGGTTTTGTGCTTTAATAAAGCATTTTACTAAACTTATATCATTTGCTGAAATACACCTGAATTTGATAAGAACATAAAAAGGTAGGTTTCCCATAGAGTTCCCTCATTGTTACAAACAAGACCTGGACTATCAAAAATTCCAGAAAACTGTTGTGAAGGAAGGCAAGATAAATTTGACCCATTTCCAACATTACAGTGTAAAGGTAGTTGTGTCTATTGGTTTAAAATGCTTTGAAGTGAAATAGACTTTGGTTTATGTTTTAGCTCTGATACTTGTCCATTGATGAACTTGATCAAGTTATTTTTCTCTGGGCTTCAGTTTCTTTGGCTGTAAAATGGGTGTACTTTATGGATTTAATTTAAGGGTAAAATCAGAAAACATAAATAGGTATTGAGGATGGAATAACAAATAGCAAAGATTCTTTTTTCTCTTTCTCCTTCTTTGATTATTGTTAGTACTATCATTAATGGTTTATGATAACATTTATGATTAGTTGACACTAACATTATTTTATGTTGCAGAATCAACAGTAATGCAATTACCAAACATAGAAAAATGAAAGAAAAGGTAGAGAAAAGAAAAGAAGGATAGGAAATGAAATAAAGAAGAAAGTGCTGAGTAGAGGGGCTGAAAAAACATTTCTTACTAGTGCTTCTGTGTTAACAATAAACAATATAACATAAATTGTATATATTAATGTTTTACTTTGGGAAGAAAAAATACTTGAGAAAATATAGGTCAAGATGACACTAAATTGTGTTTATATATTTAAAGATTTATCCAATAACACATGGGTTTAGGGTTACAATGGAATTCACTGAATATAGAATTAAACCAATGGGCCTACTTCTAGGGAAGCTTCCTTGGAAACAACATAACTTACTTCTTCAAAGAAAACCTCTTCATTTAAAAAAGCTACACCACATTACAGGGCAAGAGGTGGGGTCACTGAGAAAAAAAAAAAGGCACTACTGCAACTATAGCCAAGATCTAAAGAGAGTAGCCAATGTTATCTATAAGAGCAAATATAATTCTATAGAAAAACTATTGCAACAACTTCTGCTTCTGCAAATGTATTTTTATTTTTCCCTTTATGGCCATACAAATGAAATCTAAACAATCTAATAAATTATCTTTGATACCCTTAAATTACCTGAACACTAAAAGCCACATTGAGTTTCAAAATGGTTCTATACTTTGATCATTCATTCCACAAACATTTACTGAGTTATTATGAGCCAGGCAGCCAGGCACTGACTGAAAATAGAAAGATGAAAATAGGCAAGATCTTTGATGTCAGTGGAGGTTATATTCTCGTGGAGAAAGCATAAATACATACACAAACAAGAACATATAAAAGGGAGTATCAGAGAGATTTTTTTGGCTTTGTTATCTTTATTTTTTTATTCTAATTTTTATTTTTTTATTTTATTTTATTTTATTGCATTTTAGGTTTGGGGGTACATGTGAAGAACATGCAAGATTGTTGCATAGGTACACACGTGGCAGTGTGATTTGCTGCCTTCCTC